GGGAAAGGGGGACAGCGGGGCAGTGGGACTAGAGGCGAGTGGGGTTTGGACATAGGAGCCTCCTGGGCATTGAGCATCTTGGAAACTTCAGTAGTGTTCAGGTCCTGAGGATATGGCACTGGGTCTGGCCCCGGCCCCAGTGGGATTTGCTGTGAGAAATAGGGAAGTGCTTTCCAAGGTCAAAACATGAGTGAAGTCATGTTAAAGCAATAAAGGCAGTGTGATTTTAAAAACTGCACAAAAAGGAAAGATAATTATTGTGAGTTGTTTCCTTCCCAAATTGGTCAGCCTCAAGGCCAGCTGGGGATTGATTTTTCTCCCCTGGACTGTCTGGGTTTGTTGATGGAGGAGTTGGAATTTGTGAGGGAGGGGAGTCTCCCATGAGCTTGGGAAGAAAGTTGGGCCTTGGACTCAGAACAAGGAGAGAGGGGCCAAGTCTGAGAGGCAGGAGAGCAGGTAGGTAAGGTCGAGTTACCTTCAGCAGACATTCCTATGTGCCAGGCTTTGGGGGGTGGGGGTGTGTGCGGAGGGGGCAGAGCCAGGAGCTAGGTGAGTGCCATGGGCAGGATGCATCAAGGTCGCGTAGTTAGGTGGAGTTAGGGCACACACAAAGTAGCAGGGGTTGGGGCAGGGAATGAAACCAGAATTCCAGGGAATGGTCAGGGACCCAGAAGTTTCTAGGAGCTGAAGAGTAATAGGAAACAGCTCTGGCATCAAGCAGTCCCAGAAATTTGAAGTTATGTCATGTCATGCCTCATAACTAGAATTATCAGATTCCCGGTGAGATAGAAACCAGGCAGAGTACAGGTGCTTTGAACATCAGGTTGAGCATTAGTGTCAGACCCTGGTTAGGGTCGACTAGGAACCTCAGATTACACATCTTGACTCTCTTCTTCTCTCCTCATCACCTGGTAGACTTTTCCATGTTGACTTTGGCCTTTGCAAGTGAACCTGACCTTGGGAGTCCAACTGGATCAGTGCTTTACCAGTACTAGACTAGCCTTCTGAGCAGCGTCCTTCATAGTCCACTAAATTAGTGGACCAATTAGTGGATGCTTAGATTCCAGAGGCCAGTGGTAAGACTGAGTAGTTAGGGAATGGGTTGACTTGGTCATCTTTTAGCTGGGAGGTATGAAATTTGGGATATATTTTGAAGGAACCTAGAGGGTTTGAAGTCACTATTGGGATACAGTGATCGTAAGTCAAGCAAACAAAAGAGGTTAAACAACAACAAAAAGACAAAACAAATGTTGACATGATCCTTGTCCATACATATAGGTTAGTGGGAAGACAATGTAAAAATAAGTGATTTGTGCTCTGAAGGAGAGATACATGGTAGTTAGGAGAACATGTATCCAGAGAGGCTCCCATTGGTCCAGAGCTGGTTGGATTGTTGGATTGATGTTGAGTGGGAATGAAGGTGGCTAAGGTGACTTTCACAACATCCAGGATTGTTCTGTGTTCTTGGGATGGGCTAGAGATGGGGATGTAGATGAGGAAGGTGATGGTTCAGGGTGTTTGGCAGGGCCTTGAACAACTCTTGTGACATCTTTTGGAGGGTTGGGTCAGAGAATGGTCTTGTTTTAGGCCAGGATATAATGGTACTGCAAGAAATATTGGACTGCTTTTCTCCCCAGAAGGGATAAATTAGTATCTTGTGCTTTTCCTAGACTTCCTGCCTCACCTGTGCTCTTCCAAATTTGCATTATGGCGGAAGTGGAGGGCCCTTAGGTTGAAGGGGAGGCTTGAGTGTCTCCTTGTTCTCGTGAAGGATACTATGGATTGCTGCTGGGCCTTGCAGTCAGGAAGGCTGACCTTGGTCAGCCATGGGTTTCTCTGGTGCTGGGCTGTCTGAAGGTCACCTAGTAGCATCTGGTGATGTCGGGGAAGAGATCTCTGGAGGCTGGTCCATTCAGGGAACCGGCTTACTCCGATCTGTCATCCTTGTGGTACACAGAACTTACTTTGCCGTTCTTTGCTCGAGATTGCTCAGGTCGTTTCTTGACCACAAGTGGAAATCTGGGAATAGAAGTGCTCGGCTGGCTTGGCAGGTTTCCAGACATTGCATTGACCTGCAGTGTCCTGCTCTTTGGTGGGCAGTAAGGATCTGATCAGAGTGCTGTGTGCCTTGGAGCTGTTCCTCAAAGGCCACCTTGGTGACCAGATACTCCCCGACCCTTTGCTCTACCAGGGTGAGCCTACACAGGTGTACAAGGGCTCAGATCTGCTGAGACTGGACAACTCCAGTAGATCGTCTGGAGGCCGCAGCGTTGGGTCATGATATATAGCGACCAGGGCAGAGAGGGAGGCTGGCTTCACTTACCCAGTTGCCATCCTGGCTGCTGGCCTTCTATTTTTATTTAGAATAAAAAGGAGTAAAGTGATGGTTGTGACAGTGTGATTTAGGGAGTGGGTAAACATACTAAGGATGTGCAACTCCCCCAAAGCCTGGATCCTTGAATCCTGCTGGAAAGATGCTGAACTAATAACGTTGAGATTGTTCTGGAGGGTGAAAGATACCCTTTTCCAAATGAGTATCAGAGTCTAGGCATCACAATCACCTGAATAGTTCCTGTGCCTCCAAACCAGAAATTCAGATTTAATGGGTCTGAGGCCCAAGAAACTGTTCTAGTTTTCCAGGTGATTCTAATTTTCAGCCAGATTTGGGAACCTGCCCACCAGTTAAGATCCAGGGATGCTTCCTTATTTTCTCGAACGGACCTTGACCCTGAACCCTAACCATGGCCACATATTTGGTCTTCACTCCCCTTTATGCCCCTTTCCTAACGCTTGTCTTTCAGAGATGCTGCCCCTTGGCTTTGCCTCGGCCTAGATCAGGGCTGGCGGCTCCTCCCTTTTTTGTCCGTGGAGAAAAGGGGAGCTCCACCTGGGCGTTTTGATGGGCAGATATTCTGGAACACTTTCTCACAAAACTTGCTGCTTGAGGCTCGACCACATAGTAGATTCTGTCTGTAGAAATCCAGATCCTGAGATGCAGGCAGGACCGTCCTGTGATGGCACAGGAAAAAAAATCTGTTTACTCTCGTCTTAGACATCATGGAAGTTCTGGAAATACTGGAAGGCTCAGTGTTTCTACCCCCATGTTTCTTGGGTCCTGCAGACTCTGGCACAGTATTTGTTGCCCTGAAGATGTGAAAGGTGGGCATTGCCAGGCAGCAGGGCTGAATTGGTAGCTTTTTTTTTTTTTTTCTAACAGTTCAGGTCTTTTATTTTCTTTACACCTATCATGCCATGACTTCATAGGGAATGGGCTCCAACAGTTCAGGCTCCTTTCCACTGGTTCTCACGAGGTGTGCTTCCCTGGGTGGAGCAGGCTGGCGCTTCAGCTGAACCCAAGTCCCTTTCTCTTTGGCTTCCTTCTTTTTCTGATCATTTTCCTTCACATGTTTCAGGAAGCTATCTCGGCTCTTAGGGTGCTTAATATGCTCAATACGCACGTTAATTCTCTTGGCAAGAATCTTGCCCTTGTTTACAATGATGCCAACAGCATGCTGGGTAACATTGTAGACTCTCCCAGTTTTGCCATGGGGACACTTGTGGGGCATTCCTTTTTGAACAGTGCCCATTCCCTTGGTAACTACAATATCACCTTTCTTGTAGATTCGCATGTGTGAGGCCAAAGGAACAACTCCATGTTTTCTAAAAGGCCTAGAGAACATGTAGCGGGTGCCCCTCCTCTTTCCCTTTGTGTTGGTCATTTTGGCGAATTACTGGAAGATGGCGGTTCCGACACAAAGGCTTGGTGGCATTGTTGATATGGGCACTTGGCAAGATCAACTTCCACGGTTGCACGTGTGGGGCTTGTGCCTCAAGTCTCGGCAGATGTTGGGTCAGGTGGCATAAGGTGGGGCGTTTTAAGACCCATAAGGTGATACAAAATCTGGACAAGACTCAGTCGGAGGGAGGGACTGTTCATATTTTTCGCCTTTACCCGCACTGTCCCTGTCATTCCCTCCTTCCCTCGGTTCGGCCCCCGACTGCTCCACTCCCACCCCTGCTTTAGGCTTTCCTCAGACCTCTATCCGTGCTGGGAAGCATCTCTTCACCTCAGCTGCACTAGGAGCCCCTGCTCAGGGCTCCCACAGCACCTGTGCCTACCCAGATCTTTATGTTTCCCCGTTGTTTTAGAAGTCTTTGAGTGTCTAGATCTTTTACCCAGACAGAGCCACTTAGCGGCAAGGACTGGGTCTGTTCATCTTTGTGTATCCATCACCTCGTGCACTGCCTGGCATATAATAGGGTTCAGTAAATATCTGCTGAGTGAATGAATCAATACATGCTTTGAGGGGACGATATAAATAACTCCCTCCACGACCTTATAGTTGAACATTGTTCATTTATTACGGTGTTGATACCTATACATAAGCTTATGGATAGCCTTGTATTCAAGATGCATATTAAAGGACATTTTTCTAGCATAAGGAGTGTTTCAGACAGTTTGGAACGTTAACTGAGCACTTTTGAAGTAGCGGATTTATGGTATTTGTGAGAACTATTTCTGTGCTTAAAGCAGTAATGTTGTATTGAAAATGTCACATTAGGAAACAAGCCCTTAGGGAACCTGATATAACTTACTCTTATATTCTTTGGCAAATGAAGGTATGGCAAGCATTTTAGTACAGAGTAGGTTGGATACTTCAACTGTAGTTCCTTGAATTGAGTATCTAGCTTGGAGGGAAACACACATACGTGTGTGTGTGTGTATACACATAAAATTTGCTTTTTGCTTTGTAATATAAGATTACTGTGCAATGGGGCATAGCAAAAGAGTCTTGGATTGGACCTAGGGTCTAAAGGCAGAGCAAATGCTAACTGTGGGAGTGGGCAAGTTAGTTTTCTGCTTACACTTGTATGAAATGGGAGTGTTGTTCTTGTTCAGGGGTTACAAATGTCTACAGGAGTGAGGTTGCTAACTTTGGTTGCTATATGTGCTATACCATTTTTTTTTTCCTCTTAGACCTCAGCCCCTTTTTTGTGTTCCTACTTTTGTTAGGATCAGAGGTAGAAGGAAATATTTCTGTACCCCGAACAAAATAATGCAAGGACAATGATCGCCACAGCTTTTCTCTGTGACGATAGGGAGTGGTAGAGACTGTGGCGTATTGGAATAGCCAAGACTGCCTGTGAAGGGCAGCTGCTACTTAGCACCAGCTGATCATTTCCAGACATGAACATGGGCTATTTTGACAGATCCTCTTTTTTTTTTTTTTTTTAAAGAGAAGCCCGAAGTTTGGGTTTTTATGTGACATCTCTGATTTTTAAGTTTTGGCTCAAATTTCTAGGCATATCCTGCAGATCATATAATATCTCTGTAGGCTAGATGTGACCCACTCGACATCCGTTATAAATGATCTCTAGAGCTTCTTTCTGTCCAAGATCCATTGATTCTAATGGGGACCATTTCAACCAGTGAACTGAAGGTTCTGCTTCTACTAGGCGAAGTCAGGGTAAGAAGGAAGTGGGGCTGGAAGATGAGGAGGGAGGCTTTGAGTCTAAACAGGGTGCTTGGCAATTGGTATTTGGATGGCCTCCTTGGAGAGAGGCCACAGGATGCCCGATTCACAGCAGATGCCTTGTATGTTTGTCATTGCAGGAGTGGCATTTATTGGAAGAGTTTGTGAGACCTTCTCTCTGTCCACAGCTCCAGGACCAATGCGTCTTTCCAGCACCTTAAACCACTGGTGAATATGTATGTGTGTGTTTTTTTCCTGCTGCTGCAGTGAAAGGACATGTTTTCAGTGAACTGTAGAATGTGATTTTCAGAGAACCACACTGTCCTGTCTATTAGAGAGGGAAGGACACTGGGATGGGCCTATAGGCATATCTGGGTTCTGGTACCTACTTCGCTGCTGCTTGTGGGATCTTAGGTGCATTGTTTGGCTTCGCTGGGCCCCCAGACAGAGAAATGAATCCTGCCCTGCTGAAAGCTTATATGAGAATGCTTCCAAGGGAATAAAATGCTGAGCAAATACAGAGTAATCCTATTTGGCTCTGAGATGTAGAGCTGGGCAATTCTGTGCTAACAATGAGATGTGAATACATAGGTTGGAAACATGGATTTTAAATACTGATTTGGAGTCCTCCAGAGTGGTTCTTCAAGAGATTTGCATTTTCCTTTTTTTCTTTCCTACCAGTCCAGCTACCATTTTTTTAGAAAGATAAATTAACCATGTTTCACAATTACCTTCATTTTTATTTGCGATCAGATGATTTCACAGTTAACAAATGTTCTTCCTTTTTGCCCCCGAAAGAAACTTAATTTCTCATCATAGCAGGTAAATGTCTTGCATCTGTGGCAGTTGAAAGAGGCAAAAATATGTCCTTAACACCAGTGTGTTCCAGTGCTGACAGCACTTTGAGGCGTGCTAGCTAGTTGATGGTGAAGGTCTCACGTGAGTACTGAGGGCAGGACACTGAGCCAGGGAGGCAGTATGACCCGTGCGTCTCGAGTCCAGCCACCCTTTGTTGAGAGAAGCTGGCTTGCTTGCTGCTGACTGCCTGGTCCGCTCCCCACGTGGACCAGGTGTTCTTACGACCCAGTGAGATGCGTACCCGTGGCATGGCCACCTGGGGAGCTTGCAGGGTGCCTTGGTGGGCAGAAAGGAAGGGCAGTTAGTCAGGCCCAGGGTTAGGGACCCAACTCAGGTATGGGAGGCTGACTGTCCCCACTGCTGTGCCTAAAGGGACACAGCAGACATTCTGGGTCCCTCAGTCAGAGACCCATCTGTTAGAAAGAACTCTGTGGGTGGGAGTCCTCAGGGAAGCAGATGGTCTCAGGCAGATGGGATGCTTCAGCCATTTGGTAAATACGTATGAATGCCTACTCTGTGCCAAGGCACTGCTCTGGGCACTGGGGACCCGGTGGTCACAGACAGACTGGAGCTTAGATTCAAGTGGGGTGACAAGCAAGAATGTGACCTCCATGAGGGCAGGGATCTTTGCTTATTCACTGCTGTCTTCTCAGCTCCTAGAAGAGCACCTTGAACATAAACATGGTTAGTGCTCACTAAATACTGTTTTGTGAATGAAGGAAATAACTAAGTAGACAATATAATTTCAAGTGATAATAAGTGCTATAAAAAGAGTGAGGGGTTCTTTTTTTTTTTTTTTTTTTTTTTTTTGCGGTACGTGGGCCTCTCACTGTTGTGGCCTCTCCCGTTGCGGAGCACAGGCTCCGGACGTGCAGGCTCAGCGGCCATGGCTCACGGGCCCAGCCGCTCCGCGGCATGTGGGATCTTCCCGGACCGGGGCACGAACCCGCGTCCCCTGCATCGGCAGGCTGACCCTCAACCACTGTGCCACCAGAGAAGCCCTGAGGGGTTCTTTTTGAAAGAGGTCTGAGAAGGTCTGTGTGTGTGAGGGGGGTGGGTAGAAATTTTGTGCAGAGATCTGGGTGGAGTGCAGGAATCTGGGGGGAAGTGGTTAGCAGAGGGAACAGCAAGTGAAAAGAAAGGCCTTGGTGTAGGCTGAGCTTGGCGTGATAGAGGGACAGGAAGGCAGCCAGTTTGGCTGGCCTTGAATGGGGGCTTGTTATGGGGAGAGTGATATGAAATGAGATCAGTGGTAGGTGGGAGCCAGATCTTGTAGGTATGATAGGAGTTTAGATTTACTCCAAAACCCAGAGTGTGATTGGATACCTTTTGAGAAGTTTGAGTAGAATAGTATGATCTTCTTTGAGCTTTAAAATTATTTCTCTGGGTCCTGAATGGAGAATAGACTTTGGGGGCAAGAATAGAATCAGTGTGACCTGTAGGAGGCCCTTCCGGCCTAGGCTAGAGATAAGGGCGTAGCTTGGATTAGCGTGGTGGTTATAAAATGATGTGAACTGGTCAAGCTCGGGGTATATTTTGAAGGCAGAGCCTGCTGAGTTGGGTGTGTGTTTTGAGCAAAAATAAAAGCCAAGAATAAGCCCAGTGTTTTTGACTGGGTGAATATAATGATGCTATTTACTGAGATGGGGACCAAAGAGGAAGGTTTGGGGAGGATCCTGAGAGTTCTGTTTGGGCCTATGAAGTTTGAGATGCCCATTCGATTTTCTTAGATTTAGAGTTGGCTGGAGCTGGAAATGGTACCTTTGAGCATCATTAGCACGTAGATGGTATTTGAAGCTATGAGACTGGATGCAATCACTCAGGGAGAGAAGGGAGGAATAGGTAGGATTTGGACATAGAAAAGAAAGGCAAAGAGTGGATTTTCCATATAAAATCCCTACTAAGAAGTAAATGAAGACACATGCTAATGAATAAGGGATAATTTCATGTAATGTAAATATAAATTATTCAAGTTAGATGATATGACAGTAGTAATAAAGCCTCACCTTATGTTAAAAAAAAAGAAAAAGGCAATACTGTGACTCCCCCAAATCAAGAATATTAGTTTTAGAATTGCATGATTTAAAACGTGGCCAGCTGAGCGAATTATAAACTGCATTTATGCATTTGGCACATGGCTGTCTTTGGCTGGCAAGCAGAAGGGTCCACCATTCTTTGCCAATAATAGCCTGTAAGCTACTCTGTTCTTTATCTGCACTAGAACTTCTACAAGCCATTTTGATGAAGTTTAATTCACTGTTAATACATTACAGATTTTTTTCATTCTATGATCATATTCAAAAGTTCATTAAGTGAAGGTTCACTGAGTGGAAAGCAATGCCCGAAAATCAGTAATTTTGCGGTGAAAGTTGTGATGTAATTTTATGAAAAGGCCACACAGTCACCGTGATTTGCAGGACCACAATTTAGGAAACATTTTGGATAACTTTGAAGTACGAAAGATAAACGTTACAAGATAATAAGGCTGCAAAAATAGACCTGATGATAGTTGAAGTGATGGTTGTAGTAGACGTATGTGTTTCAGGACCACCCATACCCCTTAACCATCATCCATTGATATGAGAAAATCATATTTTGAACATACACATTTTCATCTCTGTGGGCTTCTGGCATAAAATACAGCTCTCCTGTATTAGTTTTGTCCAATTCCCAGAGAAATTGCCCCACTGAGCTTCCAGCATATTCTCACTGGGCTCTTTGATTTTTGCGTTTTCAGGTTACCTGGGAAGTCTCTTTAGTCTGGGTATCTCCAGCCCCCATAGACACTTTTGTCCCCTTCCCACAGTTACCAACTCAGCGCCTGCCGGCCTCCTCCCCCTTGCTGGGCTTCGGGGCCCACCATCTCTGACTACCCTGTGAGCCTCAGGTTAGCCTCCCCAAAGACTTTTGAATATCCTCAAGATTCTTTTCTTTGTAAACATTTCCACTTTTTCTCCAGGCTTGTGGTTTTTGTTTTGTTTTGTTTTTTTCTTCAGGCCTTTTGTGGAAATGACAAAAGAACGGGAAACCAGTGCAGCTGTTGAGGGCAGTGGGACAAGCAGCTTTCTAAAATGTGCTGTTTCAAGTTGCGTGGGCCACGGGCAGCCCCAGCTTGCTTTTCCATGTATCTCAAGACCCTTGTGTTTCGGTGAAAATATTCTCAGTGAGACTTCGGGAGCATCTAATCTCTGGAAAATGAGCACTGATTGTGTAGCATTCTATGTCTGAAGCCATTAATTTATGGCAAAGTGAAGGTTTCAGTGGAATGTTCATGACGATTGACACCAACCCTAGTTTCCTTTGTCATCTTAGAGTGGAACCTAAACAAGATTAAAAAGAATGAAACTGACTGGCAGTAATAGTAGGGAGGATTTCTCCTGTTTCCTTTTTAGTAAGTGATTTCAGGAATGAGAAAAAAAATTTGGTACCTTCCCATGCCCCTGGAGACTTAAGGGTGGTGGAGCTTTTTTAAATTTTTTATTTTTTAATGTTTCCGCGGTATGCGGACCTCTCACTGCTGTGGCCTCTCCCGTTGCGGAGCACAGGCTCCGGACGCACAGGCTCAGCGGCCATGGCTCATGGGCCCAGCCGCTTCGCGGCATGTGGGATCCTTCCGGACCGGGGCACAAACCTGTGTCCCCTGCATCGGCAGACGGACTCTCAACCACTGCGGGTGGAGCTTTTTTTAAAAAAATTTTTTGAATTTTATTTAATTTTTTTGTACAGCAGGTTCTTATTAGTTATCCATTTTACACATATTAGTGTATATATGTCAATCCCAATCTCCCAATTCATCACAAGGGGTGGTGGGACTTTTTAAAAAATGGTAGAATCTTCTTAAGTTAAAAAAAAAAAAGGCCAGGTATGTAGAATAGTGCTTCATTGCTCCTGTGCATGTGGACCATCTCAGGAGGAGCTGCTGGAGATAAGTAACCTTGGGGGGAGGCGGGAGGGAGTGGTATAGGAAGAAAACTTAGTTTTCACTCTATACCATTTTGTCCTTCTAAATTTTTTTGTATCATGTTTATGTATTACCTTTAAAAAGGTTAATAGTGCCCCATCTAGGTGTAATAAATGATCTAGAAAAATTTTAAGTTCCTTCACTACTTGGTTTTATCGTTACTCTTGCTCGTAGTGTATGTCAACCAAGGTCACTGCCTGTTCAGTCTCCGTTGTCTTTATTCTGAGGCTTCAGGTACATCAGCAACTTGGGACTAGGCTTTGGTAAGAAATTTTCCTTTTATAGGTTCTTCTGGCTGATCTAAGGATTAAATTGACATGAGACAGATTAACAGGAGAAAACCAAACAAAAGTGTAACAACATGTATACATGGTAGAGAGCCAGGAAAACTGAGTAACTCCCCCAAGTGACCAACTC